CCCTGGGCGGCCGCCTCCTCCCGGCCTGGCCGCCTGCTCCGCGGTCCCTCCCTCTGTCTTCCTCCTCCTCCTCCTTCTCCTCATTTCCCTTCGCCGCCGCCGTCTCTCCCGCGTCCCTGCCTCCTCCCGCGGCCTGGCCCTGCCCCCGTTCTGGCTTCTCTTCCATCCGCCGTCTGCCCGCCTCCTGGCCGCCCAGGACCCGCGCCCCTGCCCGCGGGGAGTCGGCCCCCAGACCCGAGGCCCTCCAGGCTGGGCGGCGGGGACACATTTGGGGGCTGATTTTTCCTCCTGGCGTCGGTGGGCAGCGGCTGCACCAGGCCGGGCCTCCTGGGCACATGGGGCTTTGAGCCGAGCGCCGCCTGCCTTCAGCAGGGCTGTGGGTCCGCTGACTCTTCAACAGGGTTAGGGGCATCGGGCCCCCTGAACTGGCTGCGGACGGCCTTGTCTTGGACAGGGTCTTTGCTGCCTGCAGAGGCCCAGGGGGCTGGATTGCGCGTGGGTTCCCGTATGGAACCCCTGTAGCACCAGCAAGAACTTTTTTATCAGGAGCTTGGGGTCTGGAGGTCTTCTAGGGACCCCTGGTGTCTAGTGCCTGCCCCTCAGGCAGGACCCTGAGATTGGAAGAGGGCCCTGGAGGGAATTTCAGAGCAGTTGGCCCTGCCACCCCGATTGTCCAGCACTCACAGGTGGGTAGGGCTGATCCTGGCTTCCCCTTGCCCCCAGGGGAGCTAGGACCTGGTGACCTGGGTGGCTGATCAGCCCTGTGGGCAGTGCAGGGACCTGGCCTGGCTGCTCTCTGGGAGAGGGGCGGATGTGACCTTGTGTGAGTGCAGATACTTCTGGGAGGTGTGGACAACCGTGCGTCCCTGAGGCCTCTGCATCTGGTGCTGGCCCCTCCACCTGGCCAGCTGCTTCCCTGGACCTTGGGAAGACTTCCTCTCCTCCCTGGCACCCCCAGTGACCCTGAGGCCACTTGGACTGTGGGGCCAGCCTCTTGTTCCCTGCTGGCTTCCACTGGGGCCTGAGTGTCTTGTGGTCACTACCACCAAAACCCCCTCACCCCGAAGTTGCAGTCGTAAGACGAATCTGGCTGATTTAATCCCCCAGACCAATGTCTGGGTTTCTACCTGGCTGACACCTGGGGTCCTTCTGGCCTGCGCTGGGTTTAATGCTGGGCTGCTGGTTGCACTTCCTGTTGCGCTGGCCCCTAGGCCCCTGATAGAGCCTCCAGCATAGAGCTCGCTGGTCCTGAGGCACCTCCATTCCCCCATCCCTAGCACAGCCTGGACTTGTCTTGAGCTGTCCACCTTCCCTGTGGCCACTCTCCCTGCCCCAAGGCCAAGGCCAAGGCCCCTCCCTGTTGTGGTCTCTGCTCTGTGTCTTCATGCAGGCATGCTGGGAGAAGCAGTGCAGAGGTCGTTTTCTGGTCTGTGATGCCTGGGCTGGCCACACTGGGTTCCACAGGGAGGTGCCTTGGGTCCAGGCATGTGGACACACCTGGGTCCACACATAGGTCAGGTGTGACCAGTGTCCTCGGAGCTGGGCATCACTCCACACACAGCTCATGGAGAGCAAGAAGACACTTCGTGTGGGACTGTGGGGGCAGCCCGGTCCACAGGCCGAGTGCTGGGCATGTGGTATCTTGCTGAGGAGTGGGGGCTGCTGTGGCCTGGACGTGCTGGCCTCACGTGCCCATCCTGCCCCCTCCAGGGCTGGCAGCAGGATGAGTGTCACCTCCTGGTTCCTGGTGAGCAGCTGCGGGACCCGCCACCGCCTGCCCCGTGAGCTCATCTTCGTGGGACGGGACGAGTGTGAACTTGTACTCCAGGTGAGGGCAGGGGTGGCACCTGAGGGGGAGGAAGGCAGGCATCAGGGAGCACGGGCAGCCACAGGCCCTGGGGGTCACTTGCTCCCTCCAGGCTGCGTGTCACTGCACCGTCTCAGCCTTTGCTTGGGTGTGACGAGGGGCTGCTGAGGGTGTCACAGGTGTCAGATTAGGGACAGGACAGGTGCCCTGAGCTACCAGCCTCTGGTTTCAGGTGAGCCTGCTCTCCGTGATTCTGGGGACCAGCTCCTCCAGCCCTTCCTGGCAGAGCTCAGAGTGGTGATCCAGTCGGCCTAGTCCCTGGTGTGTCTCAGTGGAGGCTGGTGCCCTCCTGAAGTGCCCTGCATCCAGGGAGAGGGGCATCCTCTGGAGGGGAGGCTGGTCAGGCCATGATTTCACCACATTCAGAGTTCACCTGGCTCTTTGGGACACAGATACAGATGAGGGTGCTCTGACCCTGAAGGGCCCTTCCTGGCCCAGGTGTGAGGTGAGGCCTCGGAGAGCAGGGACTCTCAGCTGATAGGGCCGTGGGATTTGGATGGTGAGGCTTTAGCTGATTAAAGCTTGTGGGTGCTTGTGGGGCTACCAATGGCAGAGACTGTGGGGGGGGCTGTGACTAGGGGGTGGTCTTTGATGGTGCGTGTTGTGGATGGAGTTGCTGTGGATGGTGGGTGTTGGGAATGGAGAGGCTGTGGATGGTGGGGTTGTGGGTGGAGGGGCCGTGGATGATGGGGTCGTGGGTGGAGGGGCCGTGGACAGTGGATGTTGTGGATGGAGGGGCCGTGGATGGTAGGATCATGGATGGAGGGGCTATGGGTGGAGGGGCCGTGGAGGGTGGGATTATGGATAGTGGGGGCTGTGGTGGTGGTGGTCTATGGATGGTGGGGGCTGTGATATAATGGCATAATTGCATGAGAGATCATAGATGATGAGGGGCTTTGGATTGTGCGGTCAATGTAGATCTCCTTACACCAGGTCTGGTCCCTTGGGTAATGGGGAGAGACCCAGTGGTGGGTGTGACCCGCTCAGTGATGGGGTCTAGTCCCTGCTGTCTGGAATGGGGAGGGGCCGTAAGCAGAGTGAGGTGGTGGCCTTCCTGGCCTCAGACCCTCCCGCAGCCTCACTCTGGGAAGGAGCCAGCTGGGATGTACCTGTACTTACCTACCCCCCGCCAGGTGCTAGGTTGAGGGGACAGCAGCCCCTTGTTCTGAGGTGGGACAGGCTGCATGGCCAGCAGAGGGACAGGTGAGGGGCACAACGGGTCACTCTTATGACGGTGTTATCGAGGAATGGCAGGATCCCTGTGGACAGGGCTCAGCTGCTCTGTGGGCACAGGTTGTGGGGCCTGGGGCATCAGGGTCACTCAGGCTCTGGTTGAAGCAGCAGGGATATTGGCCTGGACCTCCGTGGGCAGAGATGCCAGGGCCAGTCAGACTCTGGAGGCTGGGCCATGTCCTTAGCTGCCATGGCCACTAGCACAAGGTCCCTGCTATAGGCCCTCCACAGGGTCCAGGGTGCCATAAATGGTGCAAACATAACAGGTGATGGACCTCGGACTCCAGCTGTGACCCCTGCTACTAGGCAGCTTGGGTAGCTGTAAAGTCCCAGGGGCTGGATCTATGTGCACCTGTAAGTGTGGGCACGTTACAGTGGCACACACAGGTGTAACAAGTGTTAACGTGGGCATGAGTCAGCAGCATGTGTGAGGGCATATGTGTGCATGTGAACCCCTATATGGACATACATGAAAACATATATGCACATGCTGATTCTGCTGGGGACGACAAAGCCAGGAGAGGAGGGTGCACTGCTGGGGACGGCATGGGGACAGGAGGCCAGGACAGGGTGTGGCCTGATGTACACTCTGACAAGTGGACCCTGGCGGTTGTGTGCTGATGCTTTTTGAGACCATGGGATCATGGGACGTGGACGATGCCTCTAACCTGAGGACTCCATCTGCCTTACTGAATGACTGTCCCCAGCACCCAGGCTCAGGCAGAGGCTGCCTCTGGCCGAGTTGGAGAGTCACTGGGGACCCCAACTCCCTGTAGCCTGGGGAAGGGCTTGGCCCCACATCTGGGATCATCCTAGCCTGACAGGCCCTGGGTGCTGGCTGGGAGAGGGTAGTGGCAGCCTGTTGGTTGGGACAGGGTTAGGCTGGGACTCTGGTGAGGGCCTGTGTGGATGGAAGCAGCAAACACTGGGGCAGGAAACGGGTGGCTGGCACCTTGGGCAGGTGAGGCAGTATGGCTAGAGCAGTGGGGGAGTTGGCTGGTGGAGGCAGGGGGCTTAGAGGGCCTGTGGGGGTGTTGGCACACTGGCCAGAAGTGTCCCCAAAAAGTCCAGGGAGACACAGGAGGTGCTGGCTGGCCGAGGGGTGCCCAGAACCCTGAACAGGCCTGGCCATGCTGGGCACACACCTCCTGGGTCCCTCTTGGGTGAGATGAAAGGCAGAGCTGGTTCTGGGTCAGGGCCTGCTTTCCCTGGGACAGCTGCCTCCAGGTCCCACTGGATCCTGTCTTGGTGGACTTCTGGCAGCATCTCCCCAGATCCTGGACATCAGGTGCTTGTGCAAGGTGCTGGCCTGAGTGTGGAAGGTGGTCAGCTGCAGGGCCTCCCCTGGGAGTCCCAGGTCATCCAGGTGCTACCAGCTCTGGGGAGGTCAGGAGCCTCCGGATGAGAGGGTGGATGCATGGAGGGACCTTTGCACCGCGCAGTGGTCAGGAGGTCCTGCGTGACGTGAGGAACACAGGAGTGTGTACAAGGGCATCGGGGCATTCGGCTGGGATGGCTGTGTGGGCCTCCTGGTGCCCAGTCCCTCTGGGCACTGCCCTGAGCTGTGAACAGGGTGTTCCAGATGACAGTGATGCCTGCTTCCCTCACGCTGACCCATGCAGTGGCCAGAGTATGGAGGACAGCAGTGGTTTTGGGGGGCAGCACCCACGTGGGGAGGTGGGCCAGGATTGGGTGAACTTTCTGTGGTGCAGGCACTGAAGATGTGTGGACGATCTCAGGGGTCTGACACCTAGACCCAGGACGGGCTGGAGAGTGTTGGTGTGTAAGGGGAGCCCTGGGGAGCCTCAAGTTCTGAGTGCTGAGACATCCTGTGTCCCCCCCCCCCAAGTCCCGCAGTGTGGACAAGCAGCACGCCGTCATCAATTACGACCAGGACCGGGACGAGCACTGGGTGAAGGACTTGGGCAGCCTCAATGGGGTGAGTGTGTGGGTCCCTGTCCCCCCACCTAGCCACGCTCCACCCCAGTCCCAGCCTCCTCTCAGGCCTGTCCCTGCTGGCCACACTCCCTCTGAGGTGGCCCTGCTCAGCCCTGGCTCGGCCCCACTCGCAGTCCTAAACTCTCTGGCGTGCCCCCCTGTCCTGGCATTCCTTGAAGGTGGTCACGTTCTAGTCCTAGCCTGACTCCAAATCCCTGCACTTGTACCTGTCACCTTCACCCTGCCACTCTGTGCACTTGCTCACCCCTGCTGGTCCCAGCCCCTCTGTCCGGCCCCACCCCCTACCTAGTCTGTCTTTTGCCTCACCCTGTCCAAGACTCCCTCCTCTCCTTGTGGGGAGTTAAGCCAGCTGTCCCAGGACGGCCCTTTGGGCAGGGATGGAAGCCCCCATGTGTTGGGGCTGTTTCTGCAGGGCAGAGTGGGCATGTCCAGGGGAGGAGGGCAAGAGCAGTGTTAGGACCACCCACAGACGGGGAGGTGGATCCCTGAGATGGAGGGGTCCCTGTGTCTGTGTGTGAGCTGTGACCCCTCTTTTAAGTAAGCTGAATGTGGTGGACAGTGGAAGAAGGGGCGAGAGGGATGAGGATTGGGGATCTTGGTGTCTAAGTGAACACAGGAACAGGAAGACCTCCTCTTGGTGTGTCCTCTGTGTCCAGCCCCTGTCCTGTGTGTCTGTCCTCTGTCCGTGTGTCCATCCTCTGTCCTTGTGTCCGGCCCCTGTTGTCCTCTGCCCATGTGTGTTCTCTGCCCGTGCAGGTGCTGCTGCCTTCTGGCTCTTTTTTTCCCCTCATTGGGTGGACAGGCCCTGACCTGGAGATTTTAGCAGCTTCCCTTTGAGGATGACCAGCCTCCTCTCCCCCTCACTGGCCTGTCCACTGCCATACTCAGCCTGAGATGGGGGAGGGGGCCTATAAACGGCCTCCCCTCACACATCATTGACTGGGCTCTAAGCCAGCCCTGGGCACTGTCCAGCAGCCTTCACAGTGTTCCCAGCCAGGGCACCTCGCCTCCCCTGTGGTGGGTCTGCCCATGTTTGCTGCCCCAAGCCCTGGCCCTTGGCTTGAGTGGCTTCTCCAGGCTCATGGGTACGTGCAGGGCTGGGCAGTGCCCCGGCCTCCCAGAGCCCTGGCCGGCTGCCTGCCTGGCAGGCTCAGCCAACGACTCAGATTGGTGGCCTGTCTGCAGAGCCACGCCATAGACCCCATGCCAGGACTTGGGCTAGCCATGCTCTGGGCCTGTGCTCTGCTCACTGCATGTGCCCCAGGCCTCCCTTTACACTCCTACATCCCACTTCTCCCCAGTGGACCCCACCTCAGTCCTGAGAACCTCTTCTGTCTTCTGTGGTCAAGTTCTGTCTTCTCACTGGCCCAGTGACCACGCGCCCCTGCCGCATGGCCACCGGCATCCCTGAGCGTGTGCTGGGCCCCTGGACTCCCTATGATAGCCCCCTGTGGCAGGGTCTTCCAAGCAGGAACAGCAGCACCCCGATGGGATAGCCTGGAGGGCCAGTGGCTCCGTGTGACCAGGTGTCTGGACAGCTTTCTGTGTCCAGATGGTCCTATGCTGGGACACGTGGCCACCTTGGCTGACGTCCTGCTCCTGGTTCTGTCTGAGTGGAGGGAAGGTCTGATGCTCTTGAACGGAGGGGCTGGGACTTGGAGGCGAGCTGCAGGACCCCGGCTGTGGGCTCCAAGAGTTCTGTGTGCCCAGTCACAGCCACCTTACCATCCATCTCCCTCAGACCTTTGTGAATGACGTGCGCATCCCGGACCAGAAGTATGTCACCCTCAAGCTCAACGATGTTGTCCGCTTCGGCTATGATATCCTCTGTGCTGGGTGAGGGACGGGCTGCCAGGAGTACCGCAAGGACTCCAGCCACCAGCTGCCCAGCCCAGGCCACATCCTCTGCCCTGCAGCCAGAAGGGCCAGAGAATCACATGACAGTGTTTGCCCTGCGACCCTGGGACCCAGAGTCCAGTGGGAGGGGTGATCCACGTGTGTGTGGGCCCTGGGTGGAGTTGACCGTGGTCCTGAGAGGATCTGGAAAGCAGGGCCTCCTCGGTCAGCCCGTCCTCACGTCCTTGGACACTGCAGTGGTACATCTGACCTGTGGGTCCAGCTGCTGGTTGAGGGTCCTGTCCTCAGGAGGTGGTCTGGGTAAGGAGCTGGAGGCTTGGTCTGGGCCCTGCTTGTGGGCAGTCTGCACTCTGGCCCCAGCCTGGTGTGAGTCGGGGGTGTGCACTGGCCCCTGGCCTGGTGTGAGCGGGGGTGGGACTGACCCCAGGCCTGGTGTGAGCGGGGGTAGTGGACTGCAGCAAGGACCCTCAGTGGCCTCTGACAGTGGCCTCTGGTCATCGCAGGTCACAGCAGCTGCTGGCTCTCCTGGGAGGGACACCCCTAGGGTGGTAGGCAGGGAGCCCAGGATGTGGGGGTGATTGTACAGCAGAGGCTGGCTGGACAGTGTCCATGATCCTTCTCAATGCGGCCTGAATTGCCACTTTGTCCTTAACATGATCACATCCCAACTTGTATGTGCTGGAGCGTGTCCAGCACCGGCTTCCTGAAGAGGCCCTCAAGGTCAGTGCTGCCTGGCTGTGCGTCCCAGCAAGACATTACAGCCCCTCGCCCAGAGCCACAGTTCCCCACCTAGCAGCCATGGCCCCATAGCCAGAGCCCCGCAGCCACCACCCTCAGTACTCCCTAGTCTTTGGGCTTCCCCAGTACGTGAGCACAACCTTTACAAGCCCAAACTGTACCCCTATTCATGTCCAGTAGCTTGGTTCCCGCAGTTCCGCTCCATCCCTTGCAGACCTGCCCCCGTACCTGCAGCCCAACACCCCAAGCTGCTCAGGGCCACCCATACTGATGCCAGAACAACCCGGGCCTGCACGGCTGGATGGCTTTGTCTGGCAGATGGGAGGGGAGTTGTTCCCCAGGTTGACACAGCTGGAGGCAGGAGGGGCCAGAATAGGTGCCCAGGGTCCTGCCATCTCCTGCAGAGGGGCTACGCCCTGAGGGCAGAAGGGCCTGGCCGGCTTTGGACACTGTGACCCTGGAGCAGCAAAGCGAGGGGGCTTCTGGCATCACCTGGAGCTGAGATGGAGGGGTGGGAAGGAAGAAGCCTCTGGAGGCCAAGTGTCCTGTCCATGAGTCAGAGTGACCTGAAGCCAGACCCTTGCCCCATGGCGGAGGAAGATGGGCCCTATACCTGTAGACAGCAGCAGGGCAGCGCCTTTGGGGACCCCCTGGAGTCCTGAATCTAGTGTGAGGGGCTGGGTTGGGCCCCAGCAGCCAGTCTGCTCTGCCTGTGCCCTCCCCAAGCGTAGGCTATCTGGGTCCCATAGCTTCACCCAGGGCCCGTACGAGTGGGCACATCTCAGCCCGTATCCCAGGGGCCCTTGGACAGCACAGGCTGAGCCGCCTAGCTGAGACCCTCAGCCTACAACGGCAGTGGGAAACCTTGAACAAACGGTGAACCTGCTTGGCCAGCTGGGCCCAGTGCCCAGACCCTGCAGCTGACACATTCATATGAGCGTGTATGAACACACACACCAGTATGCAGAAGAGGTACCTGTATGAAAGTGTGTGTGCACAGAGGTGTGTATGTGAGCGTGCATGCATATACCTATATCCACATGTGCAAGCACAGACTTGCACGCCTATATCCACACACAAGACATGCATGTGCAAATATATACACGATTATGCAGAGACTGACGTGCACCCGAAAGTAGAAATGCACATGTGTATAAAATATGCATAGCTATATGGTTAGCATACACACAGGCACATGCTTTAGATAGGCCACAACTCTGGACTCCCCGTCCTTCTGGTCTGTGCCCTGGGGAAGGTGTCCTCACCCCCTACCCTCCCCAGATAAGCCCAAGGACCCCCAACCTGGGTGTGAGTGAGCTCTATAGTGTGGCAAGCCCTGCAGCACTGGACTAACCCTGCCACCTCCCCGCCTGACCGCAGCATGAGAAGTACACCAGCCAGCTGCAGGTGAGCGTTGTCAAGGGCTCGGCGCCAAAGAGGAGTGAACCACTGCCGGACCATACACCGTACTGCGAGTCTTCGAACCCCAGACCGGAGAAGGGGGACCGGAGGCCAGCGACAGGTGGGACAGCATTCTTGCTGGTTTGGGTGGAGCGTGTGCGGCGGGGCCAGTTCAAGGGGTCATGCTGAGGGCTTGGCTACCCCAGCAGGCAGCCCTGGACAGAGTGGTGGGTGGGGGCTCTGGGCCCAGTGCTGCGGAGACTTCACAGTCTGTTACTGAGGTCTCCAAAGACGGAGGACAGACAAACATACAGCCCAAGTGGGCCAGGTGGCAATGGTCATCAAGCCCCTCTGGTCACTGTTTATGACAGTTTTGGAGAGAGCTACCCCCAGCTGAACGCCATGGTGATCAGGGCCCTCAGGGTGCCCCTCTGGTTGCAAGTTCCACAGGTCAGAGAGCCTGGGGTCCTGAGATCACACGTAAGGGAACAAGTCTTCCTGTGCGCAGGAATAGGTTCCTCAGGAAGCTAAGCGTCTGAGCCCAGGGTGACTGCAGAGTCACCCCAGGTTCCCATCCATGTTGGAAGCCCTGAGGACTCAGCTCTGCTCTCCCCCTCAGCAGAGGCATCCACCTACCGCACCCCCCTGTACGGGCAGCCGTCCTGGTGGGGAGAGGATGATGGCAGCAGCCCGGCTGAGGACCAGCAACAGGCAGAGCCTGAGGCAGGTAAGTCCCAGAGGCCAGGCTGTGGCCAGAGGTCTGGAGGTGGTGGGTAAGTGCGCTACTGGGCAGCCCAGCTGAGGACAGCCTCTCCTCAGAGCGTGCCAGGGACCCAGCCCAGCAGGACGGAGAGCTGACCAGCACACCTACGATCCAGACCCCCGATCCACAGGGCTTCCCGTTCCGCCGGGAGCCCAGCTACTTTGAGATCCCCACGAAGGAGTCCCTGCCAGCTGTGTGCTCCCCCGAGTTGCCAGTGCACGAGGCCCCCACCAAGGACCAAGAGCTAGGCGAGTGTGGGGTGGCACCCGTGGTACAGAGCCACGCCTCCTTCACCATCGAGTTTGATGACTGCAGCCCAGGCAAGGTCAAGATCAAGGACCATGTCACCAAGTTTGCCCTGCGCCAGCGGCGGCCCCTGGGCAAGGAGGCCACGCCTGCTGAGATGGTGTCTGCAGAGAGCAAGGTGGCCGACTGGCTGGTGCACAATGACCCCAGCCTGCTACGCCGAGCTGGCCCGGGCGATGACCGGCACAGCACCAAGAGTGACCTGCCCATCCACACCCGCACACTGAGGGGTGAGTGGTGTCCACCCCCATTCACCTAACCCATTCTGTCCACTTCCACCGACGCTCCAACCACAGCTGTCACCCCGTCCACCCTCATCCACTTTGATCCACTCCCCCAGCCCCTACCCACATCTGTCCACCCCATTTACTCCATCCATCCTGTCCACATCTGTCCACCTCCAGCAATCCTCGATCCACATCCGTTCACCTCCATTCACCCTTATCCATCCCATCCACCCCCATTCATCCTGTCCACGGGTCTGCTCCCCAACCCCCATCTGTCCCCCCTCATCCATCCTGTCCATCAGTCCTGTCCACATCTGTCTACCTCCTCTGATTCTCCATCCTCATCTGTTCATGGCTGTCCACCTCTTTCATCCTCATCAGTCCTTGTCCACATCTGTCCACTCCAACCAACCCTTTCCACATCTGTTCACCTCAATCCATCCTGTCCACCCTACTGATGGTCGTTCATCCACATCTGTCCATCCCTGCCCACCTCCATCTACCTGTACCCACTCTAGACCACACTTAAACCCTGAGAGGTTAGTACTTGTCCACCCCCTCCATGCCCGTCCCCTAGGGGTGCCAGTCAGGCAGCTGCAGCCCCAGGTCCGTGGGTGCTGGGTTTTAGTACCCATCTCTGAGGATATGGGGGCTCGAGAGCAGCAAGGAGACTGGCTGATTTGGTGTTTCAGTGGATGCTCCAATCCCTGCTGGGGTGTGGAGGTCCATAGCATGTACGATTGTGTGGGATGACCATGTGTGCGCTGACACCCCACCACGGCTGACCAGTCGCCTGGCCCGCTTACAGGCCACAAGCATGAGGATGGCACGCAGAGTGACTCGGAGGACCCACTGGCCCCCACGGCAGCCAGTGCGCCTGTGGAGACGGGCACAGAGCAGCAGGCCCGGCTGCAGCGCCAGATCAAGCGAGACCCCCAGGAGCTGCTGCACAACCAGCAGGCCTTCGTCATCCAGTTCTTCGACGAGGACACGCCCCGCAAGAAGCGCTCCCAGTCCTTCACACACACGCCACCCTCGGACCCGAAGGCCGACAGGCGCCCCCGTGCACCGGTCCCCACCGACAGGGACCGGCCGGGCGGCCCCTGGCCCCAGCGGGCTGGCTCGCTCAAGCGGGAGAAGCAGGAGGAGC